CACATTTTCCATGCATTATACCACCATTTCACAGTACGGACCCATGCATTACATTGATAGATGGTAATCTTACTTAAAATTTTGGTTTAGCTTTTACAATAACTCCTGTAGGTACTAGGTAGAACGTATTAAAAAACAAGGGTGTTTCGTATATATTTTAATAAAATATATATTTGAATAAAAGTTCATAAGCATTGATAAATCAATGATAGTCCCAAGAATCACATCAAAGTAGAAAATACTGTTGGATTAACTAAAAACAAATTAGGATCAAAATTAAAACCAACAAATAAAAAAAAGCAACGAAAAAGCCTTAAAATATTAAACTTATTAAACTTACTACGCTTTCGGGATGGTGCGAAGATTTCTGATAGCGGATTTTTAATAAATAATTTGATTTAATTTAATAACCAGGATCAAAATATCACGTAAGGCTTTTATGACGTGCAAACCAGTTTTATGCAACAGAAACCTGTCGATGAATATTCATAAGACAGTCCTGAAATGTTATGTGTGGTCCATCCTATTGTATGGTTGTAAGACATGGACGTTAAAAACCACAATGCTAAACAAGTTAGAAGCATTCGAATTGTGGTGCTATAGACGAATCCTAAAGATATTGTGGGTTTCGCACACTTCCAATGAAGATGTTCTTCAAATGATCAATTCATAACGTCTGCTCATAAACACCATAAAGAGGAGAAAAACATAATACTTCGGCCATATAATTAGAGGACCTAAATACCATCTACTTCGCCTTGTAATACAAGGAAAAGTGTAAGGAAAGAGATGGATTGGTCGAAAGAAACTTTCATGGCTGCGTAATATTAGACAATGGTGTGGTTCCACAGTAGAAGAATTATTTCGCGCAGCAGCCGACAAAGAAAGGTTTCAGGAAATTGTAAACATGATGACGGCCAACGTCTGAATACGGACACGGCACCCAAAGAAGAAGAAGGATTTTTAATTGTAAGTTTAAGCGGACGATATTTCTCTTTATGAGAGATTTCCATCTTGAATTTAATCGAATGCCGTCATCTCTTTTATTGAGACAATTTGGTCTTTTTTAATTCTTGGTTTATACAAGCGGATGGGTAGAGGTCTGGAATTTTAAAAATCAATTTTGTGACATGTATGAAGATGGTGTGAATAAAGAGCTGAAATTGGAGGACAAGGATATTATATCATTATAATCAGGACCTTAAATGTGAGGACTCTCAGTTAGTAGTGCCTTAAAGTAAAATATTCAATGTTGTAAAAGAGTGCCATAACATGCCCCTTACTGAACATTATGGTGTCGAAAAGACGATCCAAAGAATTGTTCTTTATTACTACTGGCCTACGATCAGGCGAAATGTTGTAAAGCATATAAAGACATGCATTGACTGCCGAAGGTATAAACCTTTGAATTTGAAACCGGCAGGTCTGATTCAAACATCTGTGTTGGCATAATGCTTTGAATGCGTTGCAATTAATTTAGTGGGTCCACTACCTGTAACTACCAACAGATAAACAGCTGCAGAAAAGAATTCAAACCCAGAATAATAGCCTGTAAAGATAGGGACGGTTCCATAATTAGCAACAAAGAACAGATACTAAACAGATGGGCGGACCATTTTGAAGAACTGCTTAGCGGCAATCACGAAGATGGCGAGATTGAGGATTCCATGTTTCAAATGAATGAAGAAGATCAGCAACCACCCCCACCGAAGAAGAAATCGCAAGACAGCCATCAGCCATGGCGAGAAGCCATCGCAACACTGAAAAATAATAAAGCTCCCGGTTCGGATAATCTCCCTGCTAAACTTTTCAAAAATGGCGGCGACCCCCTCATGAAACACATGCATAAACTGATAACTGCAAGTTGGCAACAGAAAGAAACAGACTGGAAGTTAAGTGTACTGTGTCCTATATACAAAAAGGGAGACATGATGGTGTGTGATAATTATAGAGGCACCACTCTACTCATTATGGCATATAAAGTGTTGTCCAACGTATTGTACAAAAGACTCCTCCCCTACGCCGAACAAATAGTGGGAGGATATCAGTGCGGGTTCCGTCCTAATAAATCAATAACGGACCAGATATTTACAGTAAGGCAGATCCTTGAAAAAACCCTAGAGTTCGGCGTCGACACCCACCACATATTTGTTGACTTCAAAGCCGCATACAACTCCATTTATAGAAATAAACTTATACTTGCTATGGTAGAATTTCGCATTCCGTTTGATCTTGTCCGGTTAACTGAACTTACACTCACAGGTGCAGAGAGCATGGTAAAAATCCAAAACGATCTCTCAAGACCCTTCCATTGCAAAAATGGACTAAGACAGGGTGATGGACTATCGTGTCTCTTATTTAACCTGGCATTAGAAAAAATAATTCGAGAGTCGCAGGTTACTACGAATGGTACTATATTTAACAAATCAGTACAAATTGTCGGATACGCAGATGACATAGACATCATAGGTAGGTCCACAGAATCTCTGACCGAAGCACTTCGGCCGTTAAGAGCATCTGCACACAGAATGGGACTAAATATAAATGTTCAAAAGACCAAATATATGTGTTGCACTAGGTCAAGCAACCCGACACCTACACGAATAATAATTGATGACCTAGAACTGGAAGGTGTTGACACCTTCATATATTTAGGGTCGTTGCTAACCAAAGATAACAACGTCAGTGAAGAAATCAAAAGAAGAATAGTGCTCGCCAATAAGTGTTACTATGGCTTAAGAAGACAGATGGCCTCAAAAATGCCTAGAAAAATTAAACTGACTGTATACAAAACACTAATAAGACCAGTGCTAACATACGGTTCAGCAACTTGGACACTAACACAGAATGACCAAGAATTGCTCAAACGTTTTGAGCGAAAAATACTAAGACGAATATATGGTGGCATAAAAGAACAAGGTTTGTCTCGCAGGTGTTACAATTTTGAGTTGTATAGAAGATTTGGAGAACCTGACGTTGTAAAATTCATTAAGGTAGCACGCCATAGGTTTTGACCGAAGAGGTCCGATCGAACAACGAAAAAGAGGAAGACCGAGACTTAGGTACCAAGACAACATATAAAATGATTTGAAGTCTATCGGAATCAGAGCATGGAGAAGAGTTGCCAGAGACAGGGGCGAATGGAGGATTGTTCTGAAGAAGGCTTTGGCTCATAAAGAGCTGTAACGCCACTGATGATGATGATGATGATGACTACCTGTGACTGAATAAGCGAAATATGTTTACGATACGGCACACCTCATAGAATAATAAGTGACAACGCGAATCCAATTTGTTAGTAAAAGAATGCAGCAGTTTACATACTGCCTAGATATTCAGCAATTACTCATTCGTGTTTATCACATTGACTCAAATCCAGAGGAAAGTAAAAATAGAGATCTAAAGATTCAGATTTACATATTAATTTAAAAGGACCATACTTTTCCACGAATACACTACAAAGTTTAGCTACCGGTTATTTCCCAGCATATTTAAACTTTGCGCGAGAGCTATGTACGCCCACAGACGTGCATAAAGACTTGCAAGCTATTATCGCGAGTGAAACGGTTAGTCTTGAGATAACGCCTTATTTGTGCACACATACTGAATTTTATTAAATATGTTTTAAATATGTTACGTCAATTCGGTTCGAAATTCTATGCAGATAAACATTTTCGCAAAACCGTTGTGTTTAATAAAGTCTTAGTCTTAGTAAAGACTCACATCCTTAGCAAAAATGATGTGTAGGACTGCCTTCTAAATTTGCGCCGCGTCGCGCTGGCCAATACGTTATCCTTAACCAACTTTCTCCCACTTCGTACGAGTTAGCGACCCAGACGCACCCTGATGTGTCGATTGGAAAGTAGCATATATGTGTCTACTCTTTATCCTTTTGTAGAAGATGATTCCAATTCGACCATAACACCTCTTCATGAGTTGTGTAGTAGACGTCGATCTTCAACCACGTTGCAGAAAGATGTCGCAAATAAAACCAAAGTCAACGCAGCACTATAAGTTTCAAACCTCCTCCTAGGAGCTATCATAAGATGTTAATGTATGATGCCCGAGGTCCTGTTCTAAGCCCTCGCCACTAGTTAGTTATTTTGTTTTGTAGCAGATATACTCTGTGTCTGATCCAAAGATGGAGAATCTATCATAATTAATATCTGCTATCAATGCCTCCCGATGACGTGTAGGTTGGTATGACCAGATGCTGTAAATTGATATTCAGCCATTAGATTTGCAAGCTATGGACATGACGTTTAGTATTGATCCCATGACACTCTGGTATCATTGACAACTACAAGTCTGACGAACATGCTAATATAGATCGTTCCTTGAATATTCCCATGAATATCAAACTATAATGTTAAAATTTTATACCCTCCTTAATAAAAGAGATTTGGTTCAACTTGTTTTGGTCAAAGCAAGTCCACACTCTACCATGGTTCAATAAATTCTCATATATCAGTAAAAGACATTTATCTACAATTATCCGTATGAGAACTGGTCATTGCTCATCACCTCTTCATTTATTCCAAATTGGAGTCAATGATGATCCCTATTGTGAATGTGGTCAAGTGGGACCATATTTTATTAGAATGTTAAAATATAAAATTATATATAAGTACCTATTATTAGAATTAGAATATTAAATTCTTCCTTCCTGGGTACTTCTACGTTATCCGTCGGTAGCATTTTTGGTATGTGCAATGCTTGGAGGTACCCTCCAAGCGAGAAAAGTTTATACCTTTTTTGTGTTGTCTTACTAGTATTTTAGTTTGAAAGGAATTAAAAAAAAAGCAATACACGTAGAATTCTAATCATGTAAAATAGTCCAAAACAAACAGATGATGAATATGAATATTGTAGGCACTGATTGCTTAAGCAGGACAAAAAAGTGACTACCCCCAAAATGAGCGACATAGGACATAGGACAGGAAGCATCCAAAAAAGAATAAGAAAGTTTGAGCAGTTAGCAGTTTGAGGTTATGTCTAAATTTTTAAACTGATTTTTAAATAATTTTAAAATATTTTGATTTTAAGTAATAAAAATGAATAAAATATTTACAAGACTAATTTCTAGATCTTTAAGTAAAACGTTAAAATCCGAGAAACTTGCAAGTACTTACAAAGCAGCAGTCATTACAGAAATAGGTAAACCTTTAGAAATCCAAGAGAAAAAAGTATTAAAATTAAAACCAAGTGAAGTTAGGGTACAAGTTATTTATTGCAGTGTGAATTCTGTGGACGTTTATAAGTTTAAAAACGATGGGGGACAATTACCTTTTATACCAGGATATGAATTATCCGGAGAAGTATTAGAAAAGGGTTCAGAAATCAAAGATGAGGTTCTTAGAATTGGAGAGAGAGTTGTTGGTCTGAATCTTGTTAAATTTGGTGGTTTTGCAGAAGAGTGTATTGTAAGTATTTTATACCTATATGATAGATATATAACAATAAGGATAAAAGTCTACCTTTACACCACTATTAACATAGGAGTATAGTGTAAAAGGAGAGTAATAAGCTAGTGCTACTCTTCAACCGTCTATTATTATTCCTTCTTTTTCTTAAGGTACTTTAAGGCTCAATTAACTCAAGGCCTTTGGGTAAATTTATTAAAATGCTTGGATGTAGTTTTTTTTATTGTTACATTGCATGTTTACAATCTACTCTATCCACAGAGTAATAAGTAAATAGTCTGTAAGTAAATTAATGTGAGTTAGGTACCATCCAGTGATTGTTCTCTGAGTATTATTGTGTTAGGTCTTCTGACCATACCATCTTCAATCTTCTTTTGGCAAGTGGTTGGGTGAATATATCATTTATCAGTTCGTTGTTGTGATCAGTGGTGCGATTTTTACATTTTATTGAGTGATTTTTTATTACGTCCTTAAGTAATGGGATGTCCAGATCATTGTGAAGTGTTTGGTTAGATACATACCATGGAGCTTTATTTTTAATAAAGAGTATTTTGGATTGGAATTTTTGAAGTATCTTCGTATTTGAAGGTTTACTACAGCCCCATAGTTCTATTCCATATGCCCAAACTGGTATAACTATAGCTTTGTACAGAAGCAGTTTATTTTCAAGAGATAACTGAGACCTTTTGTTAAATAGCCAGTTCATATTTTTTAATTTAAGATCTAGTTGTTTCCGTTTAGCTATAATGTGTGTTGTCCATGTAAGTTTTTCATCCAGGTGCAATCCCAAGTATTTGACGACTGGTTTTTTAGGAATGGGAGTATTATTAATATAAATTTATGGACATGTCGATTTTCTTGTTGTAAAAGTATATATGGTAAATACTGGTATATATATGGTAATATATACTTTATGGATACATAAAGTATATGTATATATATAGTGTCATATATTTTATGTATTTTGGATAAATGTGAGTTATCTGATATTTCTTGAATGTAAATTATAAAAACATAAATATATTACAAAGAATAATAAATAAACATATTTATTTGCAAAATTTACAAATTAAAACAGAAATTACACTTTTACTTTTTAGTCTAGGTAAACAAATAAATCAATATACAGTTAAAAACTATCATCCTGATTGTTTGTATTACAGGAGTTACACAGAATTGTAGTAAGTGAATGTTTTTTGCAAGTAAAAGAATTGCATTTAACGCATTTCATGGATGCCGTTGTCCTTTTTCTTTCCGCGTTACAAAACGACAAACTCCACGTTTTGAAAGACGAACTGTTTCCTCGTGTTCATTTACAGTTTGTCCATATCTAACTTTTAGAAATGCGCCGACATCTGAGGGTAAATTGGTTAGCTGAGCTCTTGAAACAAGGTGCTCTTTCATTAGACTCAGCGACAAATTTTTCAAAAAAATTCTTTGATCTTTTGGGCAATTATCAGGACACGAAAATCTATATAAAACTTGCGCATTTATTCCACTTATGTTCAATAAACTGTAAAATATAACACAAGGCCATCTCCTGGAAATGCGAGAAGCTGAATATGTTGCACACATTTTGTCCACTGTATCAACACCCCCCTTAGTTGCATTATAATCCATAATTACTTGTGGTTTTTGAGTGTCTGGATGTATTTCGTCGTTATCGTGTAAAGTTGAAAGCAGAATTAGTTTTGTTTTTGCGAGGCACAAAAGACACAAGCATCATGTCTTTTTGGAATCCAAAAAGACAACTTTTAGTAACTTTTTCCTTGTTAGGTAAAAATTCTGCAGGAATTTCTGCCTTATTTTTTTCAAAGTTCCAACTAACGTGATATTTTTTTGCAGTAAATAATTAACAAGTGGAATACTAGTAGTTAGTAGTAGTTGTCGGTAGTAAGATTTCGATTGCTATTTTCTATCGAAGAAACAAGTCTCTTTACAATGTCAGTTGGTGAGTTGGATCTAACGTACGGACCATCGGGCTGTTTGCCGCAATATATTTCTAAATTTGAAGTATAGCATGTCTTTGTATCACATAAAGCGTACATTTTGATGCCGTATTTTGCTGGTTTGCTTGGCATGTATTGCACCCAACTGCAACAACCTCGAAAAGGGTGAAGCATTTCGTCTATTGTAACGTATGCACCAAGTTTAAAGGATGTTTGAATATTGGTCACAAATGCATCAAAAAAAGTCACGAATTGCAGCCAATTTGTCAATTTTGCGGCGCTCAAATCTGGTTGTGCGATCATCAAATCTCAAGCAATTTGTTATAAACAAAAATCGTTTGTAACTCATAACAGCCCTTGTTATCTCAATTCCTGTTCAGTCGCTTGTCCAAATTTCTCTGACATTTGCAAAATGCGATTTTTTTATCCCAATCAAAATCAGCAACCCTAAATACGCCATAAACTCGTTTCTGTTTATATCCTTGCAGTCTCGTTCTCTAGAATATACTTGACGTGTTCTTATTTCAGCAATATATTTATTAGTGCAGCATATAATATTGTCGATCATGTCAATGTCTATTATTTTCAAAAAGGCTTCTTGCTCATTATTGATATTTCGGGCTCTATGAGTGACACCAGGCTGCTCTTTTACAATGTTAATTTTTTTTATCTTTGATGAAGTTGCCGTTTTTATTTTGTACCATTTGGTAGTTTTTCCTTTTGCTACATAATAGTCAGAAAATGAAGCTGTTACGGATTCATCATCGGATAATCCCTCTTCAGAACAACTGTCTACATCTTCTTCTTCTATATACTCCTCAGACAAATCACTATCACTAGACACAGCGTGATCTGATTCGTTTTCGTTTTCATCCCATAAATGCTCAGCTAAATAAGCAATCTCCTTTGTTGACAAAGGACGGTTAGACATTTTCTTGGTTTATCTGAAAAAAAAACCAAAATTCAATATCAATATTATTATTATTATTTAATTTCTAAACATAAAATCTGATACAGAATGCAAATAAGCGAAATAAAATTGTTTAAGATCATAATACATAAATAAAAATAATTACTCCAAAACTCGCGTGCTATAAAATTTATTATGACTGTTCCTCTTCATTCAAATATCTCACAACAACCAAATTCAGTATCCAACCAACCAAATTTACCTGCCACATCGTACCTAACGGGTCATTTCAAGAATAGAAAAGTGTTAGGCAGCAACTTAATTTAGAATAATAGTGGCGTACACTATTTTGTTAAATTGTCATAAAATTTATGTAGGCGCGCGCGCTGAAAGGTTAACACTGATCTTCCATCGCTTAAGCCAGTTTTGTAATTGATCTAAATAATTTTGTACTTTTTGTGATGCTACATTAGGGTTGATATCCACTGCCAAGATTCCTGTGTCATCAGCAAATGTAGCTAAGAAGGTATCATTGCTGATTGGAATGTCTGCTGTAAATATCAGATACAGAAATGAGCCCAAAACGCTACCCTGAGGTACACCAGATTGTATGATGTGATAATTTGAGTAGCTGTCTTCAATTTTGACTTGAAAGTAATGATCAGTAAGATATGATTTTAGTATAAAGTATAGTTGGTCTGTTAGGTGTAATTTCAGTTTGTAGAGTAGACCTTCATGCCATACTCTATCAAATGACTGTTGTATATCTAGAAACACTCCAGCACAAAACTTTTTCTCTTTGAGAGTTGTTTTAATTATATTTACTATTCTGTGGCATTGTTGAATGGTTGAGTGTTCATGTCTAAATCCAAATTGGTGTTGTGATTTCATTTATGGGAACAACTTGCTCGATTTTCTGTAATAGCAGTCTTTCTAATACTTTTGACATTATTGGGAGTAGGCTTACAGGGTGATATGAATTTGCTTGCGTTGCGGGCTTACTAGGTTTCAGAATCATAGTAACTTGAGCAAATTTCCATTGTATGGGAAAGTATCAAAGACATAGAATGCTGTTGTGTATTATAGTTAATACACACACCACTGCTTTTCTCGGTAGCTTCCGAGACCTTCACCCCTGTTATCAAATCATAGCCAGGAGCTTTCTTAGGATTTAGCATTTTTATTTGTTATCGAACCTCCGTCTGAGTAAATGTTGTCAGAGGAAGAGATAGTTGATATGGACTTTCGAGGTACGTTTTTATATCATTATCTTCATCATTATTAGTATCTGGTGTTGCGAATACAGTTGCAAGATGCTCTGCGAATAGGCCAGGTCCAGGTCATATCTGTTTTTCTTAAAGGTGAATTTGTTATTATCTGTCGTTTAAACTTTTTTGAAGCTTTCCATATAGAGTGGTCTTCATGTGAAAAGTTTGAAACATAAAACTGGAAAGATTCGTTTTTTTCTTCATGTAAGTAATGCTCTATTTAGTCTATGACTTATCCTGTTAAGGTACATTTTATTTATTGGATTTCTCGTTTGTTGCCATATGTGTCGAGCCACTAATGTTTGAGCTGTTCAGTCCATTCTGTATTAAGTATATGTTAATCACAAATTACTCACAACAATATCATTTATGACACTTCTTCGTCTTTACTCATATACGATCACATGTCCAAGATTTGCACCCCATGCATTTCATAATATTCATCTATTCATCTGAAATCCATTATTGTCTAACCATTTTCATGTTGCTCTTTATTAACACATTCTTTAACACATTTACTAACACATTATTAACACATATAACACAGTACATATTTGGTTAATTTATTTTTATATTTCACTCATTTTTCCGTTTCACACTGTATTTAAATTATATATAATTAACAGCATTGAAGCTATTTTATGTCAATTTTTTCTGTTCTTTATAGTTAATGCAGTACTTACTTAGTTGTAGTAATAAAATTATATAAAATTGACATGAGGGGGATAATAGTATCACATATGTTACAGCATAAGAAACAACAACAATTTGTATCTATGCTGTTCCTACGTTCAATAATGAATCAAGTACAAAAGTGTAATCACTGTGAAAATAAAGAAATGACAACAGGAACTATTTTTGCTTGCTCTGGTTTTATCAACATTCTATTTCAATCTATTACATTTAAGATATTTATCCATTTCAGCAATATTAGCATTCAGCATATTAATATGTTACTAAATTATTTTCAAAACATGCAATGGTACAAAATATATTTTTTCATTTAGGTGTAAGATAAATAGAAATGTAGAAGTTTGTATTAGTCAAATAGTCCTTTAGACAGTTCACTCTACATTACCATCAATATCATATACTATTAATTTTGTCACAAGAATGTTAATCAATTGTTTTGAATGCCCCCTCTAAATCTAAAATACAACTGCTTTTCTTCACATGCCATATGAAAGTAATCTGATGTTGATGATTACCATTGTAAAGGCTTCTTGATCATCTGCCGCATGGAATAATTGTCCTGCATTTAATATTTGAGTCCATTCACAAATGTTTTTTTACCAAGGAACTTGTTTTCTTCCATGTGAAGTGACATGAACTTTCTGATAACATATGCAATATGCTAACTGATTTAATTTTTAATTTAATTTTTATTTCATTTAACTTAATTTAATTTTTATGCAGATAACTGATTTAATCATTGTCTCATTGTATGCAAATCCTCAACAGGTCAAAAAACCATAGGCGTCACCCTAAACTTGTTTTGAAATAAATAAAAAAATTAATATTTTAAGATGTTGTCAACAATTCATTATCTTTTAAAAAATCTTCTGTAAAATAAGTGTCCACTAATCTCACTATACCTTTTTTGTGCGTAAAAAACGTCGGTATATATGCCACACGATTATTGTTAATTATACACGGGTGATTAACGAGAGAATTCAATGTTTCACGAAATAAATTAATGTAAACAGTAATTTAAAGGTGTTTATTGTTTTCTATACAAGTTATCGCCTGACACCAAAAAAATACCTTCTTTGAACGATTACCTGGAATTACTGATAAGGCTTCACTAATGATAGTTTAAGTAGTTTTTATGCCACATTACAGCTTATGCCAATAATATAAATTAGAAATTGTTTGCATCTTCCATTTAGTTTGTAGATGTACATTGTTCATGTCTTACCTACCTACGTTTTTGGTGTCAATATTTTGTTATTTGCATTTAAAAATGACGTCGACAACAGGTTTTATCACGGTTAAGTGTAGGTGCCTTCAGTCTAAGAGAGAAAAATATAATATTAAATGTACACGATGCACTTGTACATCAACGCCCTTTAAGTAATGTTCGTGAAATCGTTAACATGTGTTCAAATATGACAGGGGTTGGAGAAGCAACAATTTATAGGTTCCTAAAAGAAAGAAAAGGAGGAACTGTTTCATCTCCCAAGAAGAGTGGAGGGAGTAAACCCTTGGAAATTGAAGAAATACATAAAAACATGATAACCACTCATTTTTTTTTTAACAAAGAATTTCCAACATTCGACTAAATCCAAACAGTAACTAGAGAAAACGAAGTGTTACCAATCATAAGCAACAAGAAATTATGGGGACTATTGAGAGAGATGGAATTTCTTTGGCAAAAGAATACAAGAAACTCTGTTTTCATTGAAAAAGATTACATTGTATGTTGGAGACGAGATTATCTGAGAACTATTAAAAAGTACCGAGAAGAAGGGAAAACAATTTTTTATTTGGACGAGACTTGGCTAAATGAAGGTCATACTGTACCATATCTATGGGTTGATACAAATGTGAAAAGTTCCCGTCAGGCATTCATTGAAGGTGTATCTACTGGAATAAACAATATTCCTGTTGGAAAAGGACGCAGACTCATAATAACCCATATTGGAAACGAATACGGTTTTGTCAATGGTGGATTATTAAGTTTTGCCTCAAAATCAACCAAAGATTACCACGAGGAAATGACTGCTGACGTTTTTGAAGAATATTTTGAGCAAATGTTGGATTTAATTCCAAAAAATTCTGTCATAGTCATGGATAATGCTAGTTACCATTCAAGACTAGCAGAAAAATTGCCAACAACGGCATGGAAAAAAGGAGAGATAATCGAATGGTTGGATAAACACGCAATTGAGTACAAGGAGAATTCGACAAAAAAGGAATTATTACCTATTGTAAGGCAACATAAAGCAGCTTATAAAAAATATATAATTGATGAAATGGCATTAAACCGTGATGTAATTATTTTACGTTTACCCCCATACCACTGTGATCTGAATCCGATAGAAAATATATGGTCTCAAGTAAAGGGTGAAGTCGGACGCAACAACAAAACTTTTAAATTAGAAGACTTACAACAATTATTAGAACATTCCTTATCAAAAGTAACTCCAGAAAATTGGAAAAATGCTGTTAGTCATGCTCACAAGGAAGAAAATAAAATGTGGAATTTGGATAATATGACTGATGCAATGCTGGAACCGGTAATAATTAACATTGGAGTTGAAGATTCCTTAGATTCTGAAGAAAGCAGTGAATCTGAAATGGAATTTGATTAAAATAATATTCATTTTTTTACAAATCGGCCCCTGTTACGGCCACAAATTATTTTATATATAACCAATAAAATAAACATCTTACATTTCTTGCAAATTCATTAGTACCTGTTAATCTCCATCACTCCGACACTGGCAACTTTATTTAGGGATTAGTAACCCTCAAAACTATTGTATTCTATTCTGCTTCAACCTTTATACCTGGTGGTCATACTCAATTTAAAATTGTTTTCCTATATACTTCTGTAAACTTGTTGACAAATATCTATTTTTCATTGAGTCACCCGTATCAACAGTTTAGGGATTTGCATAAGTACTTATTCCAAGCTGAGAAATGATGAAATTGTAGTTTGACAATTAACACATTGCAATGGCATGCAGTGACTTAGCCAGTGGGGTTCCAGGAGTCTGCACACACAAAGAACTATCAAATATTAATAAACACATAAAAAATATTAAATTGGACAATTTTATTTTAAATTTAACAAATATTTTGATTTTTCTGAAGATGCAAATTGAATTAAGTATATTTGTTCTATTTACAAAACCTTTTATTAGGAAGTAATTCCACTTAAACTGTTTTAAATAGTGTCCGGATCTTGTTATTTGACAGTGTATGGATAACTCTTCAGATTGTGTTTTATATGAGCATTGAGCTCAGAAAAGGCTTAGTAGCTTGTGAGAAACTAGTTTATTGAACTTCACACTAGTTTGTTGAGTTATTTTAATCTATTTGTATCAGTCTAGAAGAAACTTTTCAATCTGGTCATGAAAGCTTGGGAACAGCTAGTGCATTATGTTCATCAATACAGTTTCTTAATTTCTCTCTTAATTTGTGAAAATATTTTAAGCGTTATGCTTCTATTATCCATATTTGATGAAATTGTCTGTTATGATTTCGTTAGTTTTAATAAAATGTACCAAATATATTATTTCTACTCTAGAAGATTTAAGAAAAAAATCTGAAATTGAATTTGAAAAACTCTTTGTATCCGAAGTGAAGACATTAGAAGAAAATGTAACATACAGTGTATAAATGAATGGACACAAAATAAAAAAAGAATGGAATAACCAAATAAGCAGAAAGGAGGGGACCGTGTTGTCAAAATAGCAGGAGATAAATCACTAATCGGCAGAAGAAGTATCAAATGACTGTGCAAAAGATGGAGTGACAACCTTCCATAGAGGTATTAATCCACCAATTAACAAACAGAATTGCTTATAAAGAGGAAGAAGAAGAATAAGAACATTCATTACATGTTTAGACAATCTAATTTCTAGTTAATAAAAAGATTTGTCAACAATGAAGACATTTTGACTGTATTTGAGAGCCATCTCGAATGTTGAAGATACTGTGGTGTATAAGTATAAGAACTTTGAAGATTGTTACAGAAATTTTGAATACGGCCGGCAAATCGCCAAACATAAATCTTCTAAAACGTTATCAATGTATATGTCAGTCCAATCACCTTCACTAGTTTGGTATGTCCTTCCCAAACAATAATGCCTCATAGCACTACGTCACCACCATGAAAAATAACGATCTCTATGAGGTTTTAACGTGGCCTACTGTTCGCCAATTCTCCTGTAGATGAAGTTTTATCCGTGTGACTTCCATAATTGAATTCTCGTTAGATCTACAAATAAAACATCACAGCAGTATTCACTGGCTGATAGTCAAGTTGACATATCCAATTAAAATATTCCATATTTTTGTCCATGACTGTAGTTTATTTGTGATCCAAGCATGAGATATGGTGATATTGATCCTGAAATCTTGTGTTAAACAATAGGAATTATATGTAAATAAAGTAACATGAAAATACTAAGTGGGGTTTACTAATGACACTCAGTTATTAGGTAGAGTTGTTTTCAGTCAAGTCTTAACTTCGTGACTTAACATATTAATTATGTTAAGTTTCATCTAAGATTAAAAACATGGTTAATATACTGTCTATTGATTTTTTTAGTTGGATATAAATGACGTTTGGAGGATACCAGGTGATGTGGAGAGGAAAGATGCCGCTGTTATAGCCTACGGTCATTCCACAGCCTTGTATGCATTTTCAAAATTGACTAGCATAAAAGAAAAAGAAAAGGTTATCATATCTGCAGGTCCTGCAGGAATGGGATTGGCAGCAGTGGATATTGCAGCAAATGTATATAAAGCACAGGTAAATGAAATTTTAAAATTTTATACTTCTAATTAAGTTTAATAAATTGACCATTTAACAGCCTACTAATCTAATGGAAGTCATCATCATCATTGGTGCTACTGCATAAGTTGAGTCTTGACTTTCCTAAGCCTCTATTTGGTCCTATGCTGTGTAGCTTGATACCAGTTGATAACATCAATCTTTCTGACAGTTCCCATAGTTCTCTCGGGTTTCGCGAATAAGATACATTGTACAGGATAGCTTTCATGTACTCTGGGTTGTCTAGATGTCCTGCCAACCGCCGGGATCTAATTTTTATTGCAGTGGATATATCTCTGGCTTCAGCTAATTCTTTATACTTATTCTATAGTTCAAGGTATCGACGCCATCAGGTTCCATTTTCATTTATTAGACTTAATATTTTTACAGGACTTTCCTCTCGAATCTGATGGAAATATGTTACAAAATATGCAGTAAAAATTACATTTAACTAATACTAATCGTATGATTCTTCTTTAGGAGCTGAATGTAAGTTGACTACGCTGACAATACAACAATTGAATTAAAAAAAAACATAGTACATTTTTTATGATCTTATAACGAGAAGGCATCCAGATAAGTAGTGAAAACGATTCGACTTAGGATCAGGACTTCTGGTTGAGACAATAGTTGAATAAATATCTGGGAAAATACTGTTAAGACTAAGAGTTGTTCAAAAAAATATGCATTACATAAGTGGTTAAAGGATAAATCAGGAGAATATGTCAGTATTCAGGTATGCTTCAGGCAGTAAGTGAAGCAAATATTGGAAGAGAATGTGTAGAGACATATACAAAATGATTGGTTATAACAGATCCAAGCTTCCATAGATGAAAGCTTGGAAAAAATAGAAGAAATAAACAAGGTAACATATTACAAGTGATTACACCAAATGAATGGAAAAACATTCCCCAATGTTACTACACGAAAATAGATCCGAATATGTGACAGATGATATTATAACAATGAATGGTGAAGCTGAAATCACAAAAGAAAATATAAACAGGATTTAAAAAAGCCAAAAAACAACAATAGATCCGGACCAGAAAACATAAAAATGGAGTTAAAACGTAATGACGGTATTAGATTTATATTTCGATTCAGGGCACCCGCAAGCCGCTTATACGTATTTTAATCTCTTTAGGTCTCATCAGAACGACATTTGCAGTTACTTTAACTGCTAGAGTAACTGCATTTGTCCTTCTGGTGAGATCTAAAGAGGTTGAAATACGTATAAGCGGCTTGCGGGTCCCTGCATTGAATTCAGGATTCTTTACTATGTTTGAAGTACCAGAAACTGAATTCACTACGAATTTTGACCATTATGAACGGCACGTGGAATGCATATTGTAGATTTTCTTGTCGACTAATTAATCAATCTGTTTTCTTTGCGAGTTTTAGAAAGGACAGTGGTAAATATTTAGTTTCGCCAAGTAGGAAACCTTGGGATTCGTAGTGTTAAAAATGGAGTTGTTGAAATATGGATGAGAAAGGGTCCTATCGATAAAATTCAATGGGTTCAATAAAATTAAAAGAGAGGACATTTCAAGTGAATGAAATTTATTATACATGTCGTCCATATTTAAAAAAGAGAAAAGATATCGATTAATAACTATAGAGGGCTTAGTGTAATGCCTTCAACTGCACGACATTGAAAATAGAATATAACAACTCATAGATAACTACAGTGAAGAACAATTTGGATTCCGAAAAGCCAGACCTCAACAATATATTTATCATGAGACAAGTCATCAAGCAAAAGCAAAGAGAAAAACATTGAAACACACATCACCTTAAGATTTGGAAAAAGCGTATGACATTGTACCCAGCAAACAACGTTGGGAAGCAATGAGAAGGATTAACGTTGGGAAAAGTTGGATAAATATAAGACCAAGATTATAAAACTTGGCAAAAGCACAAATGTTTGTCTTTTTGTTAATTTAAAACAATCACTACAAGGTTGAGTTTAACTGTAAGTCTAATTTGTTAAATTCCTTAAAATTTATATTTGTTTTAATATCGCATATTATTTACTTTTAGGTTGTAGGACTGGTAGATACAGAAGAAAGGGGAGAATTGGTTAGAGAGAGGGGAGCTTTTGAAACTCTTCATTTTTCTGATAAATTAGTCAAACAATGTATGAAAATTACAGACAATAAAGGTGCCAGTATTGTTTATGATGCGACAGGAACAGAAATGATGGAACCTATTGGAAAGTGGTAAGTTCAATAAAATAAAATAAATTATCTCAAATACTATTTCGTTCTCGGTAAAATATCATAAATGGGTAGATCTTTTTCTTTATGATTTATTTATTATTAATAGGCCATTTTTGAATTTCGCCAACCTCTCTGAACATCCGTGTATAATAGTGAGGTATTCTATTTATGTATGCATCTGCGTTTCTACCAAAAGTACTAAAAATACAGTTTATTGCTACCACAGACTTTCCATCACTACCACATCAGTCTATTTGTAAAATCATCCATCCCACGTAAAATATACCGTGGTAAGGTACTGCATGAATAGGTTTGTAATATCTTATGAAAACTTTCGTATAATGCGCTCTAAGGTCTCACCAACTGGCTTCATAGTCTTCTTCTTCTTCTTCTTTTTATATAGACATGACTGTCTGTTTTTCAATGTGCCTCCAATAAGTTGTCATTTCATCGTTTTCATGGTCATAGTAAACAGTGAAACTACGTTGTGGCACAGAATAATAAACAATCAGAATGTCCACTCTCAGATGCCGTCTTTGAAGTTTTTCAGCACGCGCGCCATGTTTTAGAAGGAAACACATAACAGAGACATATGATTTGTGAGGTTATGTATTTTTTTATATTTATGTTTAATACTATTATATTTATGTTAATATATTTAACAATGTTAATATAATTGTATAGTATATCTATGATTGCCGTAAGTCAGATAAACCGGGTTAATTTTATCTATACACACCACATAAACAACACTGGTTCCCTCTAAAACATGGCGGAACCTCTGCGCGAAGGAGATGCGCGTACTTAATTTTCCATGGAGAGTGGGCATTCTGATTGTTCATTATTTCTGTGGTTGTGGTATGATATCCTGTGGTTGTGCTTTATTGATAAATTGTGTAGAATTACTGACGTCTCATACTAACCAATGGATGCTTTGCAACTTAGTTTGATATTTTGTTCATAAGTTTATTTTTTCTTAGAACAGTTCTAGTGGGATCGTGTTTCAGTTTCTTATATGTGTGTTAAGCTGCTCTGAGTTGTATTGTTATAACCACAGTTTTAAGGGGGTTTCGCTCGTCTTAGTATTCGTGAAGCATCCACTCTGATTTATTTCGCGATGTTCTGCAATAATTTCCGAATTCCCGACCCGTACATTGAGAATTGTATCCCAACCGATATTGTGCTTGGTGTGATAGCAGTTTCTTCATTTGGTAACAATCTTCACTTCTAATGTTGATTGTTCTCCTTCTGAAGAATTGATAACTCATTGTTCTTGCTATAAAATTTGTAGTAATAGGTCTGTACTTTTGTAATTACGAAACTTCTCCCCAGATCTACCAAAAATTTAAATACTAACTTGTACCAACCGACAGATCACGGAGAGCACTGGGAATTGTCGTTTCGTAAGCGAACGATATCTTAATGGGTCACAACCTTCGTCTTCGTCACCTGAATCCTCATCCGTAAGGAAATTTGATTCAGGCGGTTCAATAAAAATGTCTGTTACATCATCTTCTTCATATGCGATATTTAAAGCTTCCTGTAGCGTAATTCCACTGAAATTATAAAAACATGTGTTTTGACTACATAACCACCTAGTGGGTCCATATGGGTACAGCAATATTTAAATGAATTTTTAACTGTCCCTTATAATTTTGATACAAAAATATGCACACTACGTTATATTTTAGGATCTTTTAAAATAAAATCCACAAGGAAAACAATTCCTGTAGCTAGCTGTATACCACGTATCACAAAAAAGAAGTTAATCTTCGTAAATGGGTATATTTATTTAAAAACCCTTACAACGGCTACATCAAAAAAACAAACGTTTTCGGACTAAACAGTCCATCATCAGGTTTAAAATTGTTAGGTTAAAATGCCTGAGCCACCAAAATACCAGTGTAAAAACCCTTTAAATTACATGTAGTTGTAAAATATTGTACATAATGTTGTTATAAAAGTGTGATGTTAAATATTAAATTGAATTTGACTTCAGGTAACATGCACCCATGGTTGAAGTGAGTTCCAGTGTCTGGAGAGTAAACCTCTTCAAACGAACTACAGCTACCAGTTTTTTTATTTTTTTTCTAAAAATTTACTTACATAAATCGGATGTCCATTATCAAACACTTTTTACTATAACACGATTTTCTAACTTCCTTAGCTTGTGAAATCTAATAAAACACTGATGAGTATTCATCAACGCAGGTTCAGACAAGTCTAAATTCATGCGGTAAATATAATGTTGGTTGCCTGTTTTATTATAATTTTATTGTGTTAAACAATACCTTTACAGCTGGGTCCATATGGTTACTGTAGGCGCTAATGGGTTAAAAAAAGGTGAGTGATAGAAGAGGTTCAGGGAGAAAAAGAAACTCATTAATGCAAAACCTTGAAAAAATGAAAAAATACGACTCGTAATGTTAATAGTCCGCCATGAAGGAGGCATTGGAAAAATTGTTACTAATTGCTAAATTAACTACGACCAACCTTACAATTTTTAAATATTTCTTGTATTTTATTTAATATACATATTTTGTATATCGATATATTGGGAAGTATTATGTTACCTGTTTTGACTATAAGCTGCTCAACAACAAAAAAACAATTTTCCAACAAAGACTACATGCCACTGGTACAAAAATAATTGGAAGTAATTCAAACGATTAAACATGGTACAAAGAAACTACAAAAACAATAACAATAGAAAAACTGGATGACGGAAAGAAAGATTGGCCTAATATATTCTTAAAGAAAACAAATGCTCTAAAAAACGAAATACAACATCTGCAGAAAATAGGAAAATCCTAGACAAATAAATACAATAGGCGTAAAATAAATACAAAATATAACGAAGACAAAAATAATCATATTACACGAGTATGTGAAGAACTTAAAGACAATAATAGATCACTCGAACTTAATAACAAAGTTAAGTATTTGTCTAGAGAATGAACTACCTCGTCTGACGTAACAATGGGCGGGGCTTAGAAAACCTTTCCAAACACCACACTTTTTGTTTTATAGGACAAATACACACGAATTAGAATTAGAATTTATTTACGAAGGGTAAATAAGGACTTTCTGTTATGAACATTAATTCTGCGTAATTTTTCGTGAATTGGTGAGGCAAGATTATCAAATTATTAAGATATTTACTCTTAATGTTCATGTTTTCATATTAAAACTTTAATGTTTTTACTGTATTTCAAGGTATTTTGTTGCTGTTTTTGATTTACGAAGTTAGAAAATATTTAAATTAATGTATTTTGAACGCTGTAATAGTTTTTGAGTTTATTATTTTTTAGATCTGGCCATATAATGGCTAGTAAACATTTGTTAAAAGATATCCAGTATTACTGAATTTTTCAGTAATGACAACAAATCTACTATTAATTACTTAAACTGTGATAAAACGCATATATATTTAGTCTTTTATGGGATAAAATCACTAGCACCTAAAAAAGAATAAAACGTTAATTCAAATATTTTTCAACTTTGAAAATAAATTCAATGGTTTATTGATGAATTTGATTTGACAGTCTTTGCTGACGCAGCGGCTATAAATAAATAAAATAAGACTGATTATTTTCTTTCGACACCTAACGGTAGCAGAGGAACGATTATGTATGTTTGTAGACTGGTTATTTCATAATTAATTATATTTAATTTGTTACAGTGTTAAAGTAGGAGGGAAACTTTTCCATGCAGCTCCATATTTCTACAAAACAATTCCATCTCCCGTACCACATTCGTTTGCCACTATTCTTAGTCTTAAGGAATTAAGTAATCAAAATCCTAGCTTGTATAGATCGATAGTAAGTGATACATTGGAATTGGCTAACCAAGGACTAATTAATGCTCACATAAGCGCTAAATTTAGTTTGGAAGAGGTTAATGATGCTATTACATTTATTGATGAAAAGAAATGTACTGGAAAAGTTCTTATCCATATTGATGAATAAGGTTAAAAATATTGTTTTTTATTAAGTATTATTTATTTATTCGCAATAAATATTTATATTTATTTATATTATATTATTTCTCCTTTAGTTTAAAAATATTACTTGTGAAAAGACTGATATTGTCTAAAAGAGATTTTGTATATACTTAAGTCAAATCAAAAGATGTAAAAGGGAAGTATTTTTGAAGAGTGTAAATGTTCTAATAAGACCAGTAGTTAATTTTGTCAATACTCCATTAGCTTAACTAGCAAAACTCTTCCAAATAACTTTACGATGGTCTCTTTCGATGTAAGAAATGTTTTCACTAATGGTCTCAGACTAGATACCATTCCAATCAATAACAACCCCTTACTCGTAAAAACCATCGACCCCAATAAATGTTCACATATTACCTCTCTACTCCAATTCTGCCTCTACCTAGACTGATAATCATATAGTATAGATATGTAGATAATTTTTTTGCCTTTATAGAAGGCCCATCTTCAGAATCACACATTTTGTCATTAATTAATAATTGAATCATCCTGCAATTAATTTTACCTTATAGTTGGAAAATAACAACATTATTAACTTTTTAGATTTAACCATTAAAAAGAATTCTGCCTCTTTCTTTTCTACATTAGAATTTTCAATTTTTAGAAAAGCTACCTAAATTGATCATATGATACCAACATCATCGAATCATCCTTTTCAACATAAGATGGCAGCTTGTCAGTGTTATGTACATAGACTTCTTAATATCCCTATGTCACAAGAAAACTATGATAAAGAAATCACAATTATTAAACAAATAACAAACAACAATGCTTTTCCTTCTTCTACTGTAGATAAGGTCATTAGAAAGTCAATACTCACAAAGAGACTTAACCAAGCTTTTAATGTGGAAAATAAACCCAACACTAAATCCATTTATAGATCCCTATCTTATTTAGATAATAAATTTTAACTTAAAATCCTCACAATTCTAATCAAGAGGTACAAAATAAAAAAAAACACTCAAGTATCATAGTGAGAAGCATATAGTTTGTTCTTTATATCTAAATAATTTGTTCTAGGGATAACTGATGATGCTATGAAAAGCAATTTTTTATATAAACCCTAAATTTTGGAGAGTCTTTGATGCATGTCCTCTTTCATTATTTTTTTCAATTCAACAATTTTTCGATAATTTAAAAATCTTAATTTTCTAATGACATGTCAATTGACATCTTTGGAAAATCATTTAAAGTGCTGGCATTCAATTTTGCTCATTCTATCTGCTGCTTTAACTCCAATAAAAATTTTTGAGGGTATACAAGGTAACTATCGAACACGGTGATTAATTTAATCTTGCCCAAGTACTTTCGATCAATAGATCATCTTCAGGGGCATTTCGTCCTTTCGTCCAATTGTGGCCTATCCTGACATGAGTAGAATGTCATAAATGTAAAATTTGGACACAACAATACAAAATACAATACACAAAGACAAACAAACACTTTAAAATTTTAAGGAGAAGCTACAGGTTGTATAGAAGCCGGAGACAGGTCCAAATTTTACATTTATGACATTCTACTCATGTCAGGATAGGCCACAATTGACGAAATGCCCCTGAAGATGATCTATTGATCGAAAGTACTCGGGCAAGATTAAATTAATCACCGTGTTCGATAGTTGCCTTGTATACCCTCAAAGTTTAATTATTCGAACATTCAACCTTATATTGATTCCAATAAAAATGGTCGGTGGAGTGTTTTTGTGGAGTCCAGTGTATAGACTTGTGTTTTTTTTTTCATTGATTTAAAAAAGAAAAGAAAAAATAAAAAATAGGACCAACATTTTTCTGCTTACCACAGGATCTCGCGTAGTAGTAAGTGAATCGTTGTTAAATTAAAATTAGTTATTTACATTATTGCTCTCTTCTAGCGTAGCTCCGAAGATGACTTTGTAAACCGAAACATCTTTTACACACTTCAGAAATACTTACTTTTTCCATTTTCTGGTTTTAAAATTTTTAGAGTATTTTCCACAAACGCAAGAGGATAATCAAATTTTAGTTATAAAAAACCTTACGGAGATATTTATACACAATTTAAAGTCTTACTATTCACTATAAGATAACCAACCCAACAGATCCCTTTAGACTATTTATTGTCGCTGGGGTCTCTCTCTTCAGTCTCTCTCCCTGGAGGGAGTCTCTCATTTTTTTTTTAACTTATGCATAGGTCTTTTGCATATTTCTATGTAAATCTTCGGTCTTCATTCTTTCTAAGAACGTAAATATAACCATTCAATAAACTTGTCTCACTCGTGAATCGCACCAATTTATATTGTTACGGGGAAAAATTTTTTGGTCCTATCTTACTTTTTCGCTTATTTACATGGGCGAATCATACACAGTAAAAATGACCCCTGTAAGAATTTACTACTGATATTTTACACGGTTGTCGCTATTGTTTAGTTCAATTTGTAGATGAGTCACCTTTAATTGAAAATTGTCCAACTATAATCGAAATATTCGTCGATATACCTACGTTTTCTTTGAAATATAGTATATCGAGTGATATATCGCTTAAGAGGCTTTACATTTTTAAGAAGGCTCTAGACCTTTCAATCACAATTATGGTTTCCAATTCAGGATCCAGATCCTTACCGATCCAGCTGCCCCTGTATTTAATCTTTGAGTATTCAGGTATGCTTCGTATACATTTATGTGCACTGGTATGTTTGGATTCGGGTTTTAATATAAATATCTTTTTTTATGGTGTTAATTTTTAATAGATATAGATATCATTCGGCTGTTATATTGTCAAGTAATCGGTGAAAGATCTGTCATATAGATATTTATCTCATTTACGGATGGTAGCAATTAATAATGCATTATGAATTTAACCATTTATTTTTAAATAATAAAAAACAAATATCACAATACATTTATAAAATGATAAGCTAGAAGTAAAACTATATACAGGATGATGCAATCATATGAATGCAGAAGCTTAAGTCTATAATAGCTTTATTAAAAGAGTCAAGGTAATCTATTAGCATGTATTATATAATGAAATAGACAATATCTAGGAACTGTGTTTTATGTTCTATAACTGCAATGTTGTCAAGCAATACAGTAAGATTTTGGTTAAATTGTTAAAAATACTAGTGTGAAATTATAGAGGATCTGACTACGGTAGTGAATAAAATAATGTAACATTATAACACGATTGACACTGTGTACTCACAGATGTTTTCTTTATCTATTATTCTTAAGTTATTTTACTAATAAAATAATACTGTCTATAATAGCGGTTTTAAAGTTAAAACAAGTGGCTGGCATCAAGTGGCAAGAATAAAGGTTGAACAAGAACTGTGGGATAAAATAAATATAAAAAGAGGAGTGAGACAAGGCTGTATATTGTCGCCTTTACTTTTTAACTTATATTCGGAGGAAATATTTAAGGAAGCCTTAATGGAGACAACCGAAGGTATTATTGTGAATGGAGTAACCGTCAACAATATTAGATATGCCGACGATACCTTAGTCCTTGCCAATTGCGGAGAAGACCTTCAAAATCTAATGAACAAAATAAAACAGACTTGTAATCAGTATGGATTAAAACTCAACGTTAAGAAAACTAAATATATGATAGTTAGCAAACAAAATTATATACATGATGACGGTATAAAAGTCGGAGATGCCACACTGGACAGAGTAGAGAAACTCGTGTATCTCGGCAGTAATATCAATGAGAGCTGGGATCCAACCGCAGAAATTAAAAGCCGAATAGAACAAGCCCGAGCTGCCTTTGTAAAAATGAGAAACGTACTTTGCAGTCATGATCTTAGCATTGACCTTAGAGTTCGTATGATATCTTGCTACATCTTTCCTGTCCTGCTGTATGGAGTAGAAGCGTGGACCCTAACTGAAGCTATGCTTAAACGCTTGACAGCCTTTGAGATGTGGGTATACAGACGACTACTGAAAATAAGCTGGGTCGACAGAGTTAGAAATGAGGAGGTCCTTAGACGGCTGAACCAAACAACACAAACTGGTCAATATAATAAAGAAACGCAAGCTGGAATACTTCGGTCATATTATGAGACACCCTGAAAAATATGATCTTTTACATCTGATCATTCAGGGAAAGATCCAAGGTAATCGTGGTCCTGTTAGAAGAAGAACATCATGGCTGAAAAATCTAAGGCAATGGTATGGAAAATCAACTACATCGTTATTTAGAGCTGCTGTCAATAAAGTCACGATAGCGAATATGGTAGCCAACATGATATCCAACGATCGATAACGGTCATGGAACTAGAAGAAGAAGAAGAAAGTTAAAACAATCTTAATTAATGAGTAATACGTGTAGTTTCAATTATACAAAAATATCCAAATATAATCTATTTTTTAATACATTGTGTCTATTTTGTACCTATCTACAACAATTTGACCTCTTATAAATCATTTTTATGAGTATTTTTAGCAACGTCATTGCTTCGTTAAGTTAGATATTCCGAGAAACTCTCGCCAATGTATTTGAAATAAGCTCCTTTTGTATTGTTATAATGAAAGCAGTTTTTTTTAGAAGAAAACAATTAAAATATATTTTCGTAAAATCGGAACGATATATGTTTTAGGATTAAATCTATCAATGAAAAAGAACGCATATGTATTTAATGTAAATTCATACTGTTATCTATTTCATCTTATAATCCACGTATCTGAGATATAAAAGTTACTACTTTTAAATGTAAATCTGTATAAAATCATACAATAATCATGTTTTACACTAGTGTTTTATATTTTTTGTGTGTACAAACATAGGTTGTTTGTTTTTTGTATCTGACATAGAATCGACCCAATACATATTAACACTTTCATAACAAAGAGTATAAACCTAGAAATCTATAACCGTTATAATATAGAAGCAATAAATTGCAGTATTAAAAACAACTGAGCTTGAAAAGTTTGCTGAAGTAGTAAATATGCGAATAATGTAAATACTACCTAATTTTGATAGGCAAAGATTACCACTCTCATATATTATTAATCAAACGATCAAGAATACCAATTAGACCCTGAACGTAC